ACCAATGCGAGAAGTACCCTGGCTGTCTTCACGGGTCGTGTGAGAAACCTTGGCAGTGCGCCTGTGACGAGGGCTGGGGCGGCCTCTTCTGCAACCAGGACCTTAACTTCTGCACCAACCATCGTCCCTGTAAGAACGGCGCTACATGTCTAAATACGGCGCCCGGATCATACTCGTGCCAGTGCCCACCTGGCTTCTCTGGCACTAACTGTGAGATAATCAACGACACGTGTGCCACCACCCCGTGTCGTAATGGTGGCACTTGTCTCGACACTGGAGATGACAACTTTGTCTGCCAGTGTCCGTCTGGCTACACTGGCCAGTACTGTGAGATCTCGGGCCAGTCTTGTGCTGACCGACCCTGTATGCACGGTGCCACCTGCTCCGACACTCCCACGGGCTACCAGTGCCTATGCCACGCGGGCTTCGAGGGCACCAACTGTGAACGACCCGTCAACGAGTGTGCCTCAGACCCCTGTCTCAACGGTGGTTCTTGTGTGGACGAGCACGACAGCTACCAGTGCGTGTGTCCCGTAGGCTACAGCGGCACTCGTTGCCAGACTGACATAGACGACTGTGCTCACCGACCTTGTCTTAACGGTGGCACCTGTGTGGACGGTGTTGACTCCTACGTGTGTCGGTGTGTGCCGGGCTTCCTGGGGACGCTCTGCCAGACCAATGTGGACGACTGTCGCACTCAACCTTGTGCTAATGGCGGTACTTGTGTCGATCGTGTCAATGATTTCCAGTGTCAGTGTAAGCCAGGCTGGGGCGGCCGACAGTGTACTGACAGTGTGCCGGTGCCGCCCTCGCCCTGTGCCTCGTCTCCCTGCAACAATGGTGGCCACTGTGTGGAGGCGCTGGAACTGGCCGTGGGATACAGGTGCTCGTGCCCTCGCGGTGTGGGAGGACCTCGCTGCTCCATCGTCACCTCCAAGACTTCTCCACACACAGACAAGGTTGTGGAGCCGATGTCCCCGGCCCAGGTGGTGCTCATAGTGGTGTTCAGCACAGCCGTGCCGGTGCTGGTGGTGGTGTCCGTGTTAGCCATCGTGTGCATGAAGCGCAAGCGGAGGTGTGATCGCGCCCGCCAGGATGAAGAAGCTCGGCGCCAGAATGAACAGAACATGGTGCACAATGCTGTGAATGCCGTCAACAACAAGTGTCTGGAGGACCACATGATCTTCAATTCATTAGACTACCCAGCCAAGCCTCTCAACACCCAGTCTCAGGGGCACCACCAGCCCCACCACCACCAGGAGACCGATTACAAGAACATGGTAGTGGAGAACACGTACAGCATCGTCCCCACCAGGAGCACCAAGACCCTCAACACGGACGTCTCGAGACTCTCCCTGGCAGATCGCTTGGAGAAGGACCTGGACGCCCTCACCTGCCGCGGGACGCCGACCTCAGAGTTCAACGCGCCCTGCAAGGTGTTGCCTGAGACACACCTGCCCCGCACCCATAGTCACAGGTAAGCCACTCTTTACTAACTACCAGTGAACAATAATGGGGTGATACGGCAGTTATTGTAGTTGAATACTTGTCGCAGGTGTTATTGTAAGTGGCTGGAACTTATGAGTAATAATGTTTGTTTTTTGTTTACAGCGATGTGTACATGAAGAGAGGCGGGGTTAGTGGGAGCTGTGACATACACACTTCCACCAACACGCTAACCTCCACCTGCTCCCCCTCCACCTGCACCACCCCCTCCAGCGTCTTCGTCATAGAGGAACACTATGACGACGACAACTACATCGCCACGCAAGTGTAGTAGTGCCAAGGTGTCATAGAAAAACGTTTAATAAAGTAAACTTGTGCTAGTGAGGCCAAAAACGACTTTATATTACAATTAATAGTATTATTTTTGTTCGCCTTCCACTGTGAAAAGTTTCCGTCTTTCTCTACCACGTGTTGAAAGTTTTCTGTCTCGCTGAAGAAGTGTCGCCTCACTTCGTTAGTCCTCAACACATCCAAAGATGTTTTAATTTAGATTTTCTTGCAAATGTGTTATTTATTTATTGTTAAAATAAATGATTTTTATACGCTGTAAGTTGTGGTATGTGGTACAAAGTGGGTTATTTGTAGTGCCTTCCGTGTGAGCAGTGAACAGTGCGTGTGGCAGGTGTACAGCAGCCTTCCGTGTGAGCAGTGAACAGTGTGTGTGGCAGGTGTACAGCAGCCTTCCATGTGAGCAGTGAATAGTGTGTGTGTGGCAGGTGTGCAACAGCCTTCCGTGTGAGCAGTGAACAGTGCGTTTGGCAGGTGTACAGCAGCCTTCCATGTGATAAGTGAAACAGTGTGTGTGGCAGGTGTACAGCAGCCTTCCATGTGAACGGTGTGTGTGTTGAACACAGTGGCAGGTGTACAGCAGCTTAGTACTGACGTCACCAAGTCAGTCACGTGGTCTGTTGGCAGTGGCGCCCCGTGAGGAAGAGGTCGCTGTGTAAGGTGGCTGGTGGCGCCCTTCAGGTGGTCACCTGCTGTCTGTTCCACACCACCTGGATACTCCACACCACCTGGATACTCCACACCACCTGGATACTCCACACCACCTGGATACTTCACACCACCTGGATACTCCACACCACCTGGATACTCCACACCACCTGAATACTCCACACCACCTGGATGCTCCACACCACCTGGATGGGACAGTTTCAAATTCTTAACCTTAACTTCTGTAGAAAAAAAATGACATTTTTCAGTTGTTTGTGACCAAGAATGTTTTTATTCGGTTGATTTCTATTAGAATTTTGTATTTTTGACATTTGTGAGTAACATGAAACTGTCTTAAGGTGGTCAGTCTACGACCTGTGTCAGTCACCACCAGTCAACTCACTGTTCACACTCTCCCTTGTATGTATCCCCCAGTGTTCCTATGTTCAGTTGTTCTACCACACCAATTTATGATATTTGTATTGTCAATTTTCTTTTTCAAATACAGTTAATTAGTTGTGATGGCCCGGCCCGTCTCTGTGACCAGTATCCATTTAATTTGGGAAAAACAGTTTACTTGGTGTTTGTGTAAAATAGTTGATGGCCAGATACTGAAGCTGTGTACTGTAGGTGTAGAGGCTGTCCTCATGAGCCGCACTGTAGACCTGTCCCAACAACTACGGTTATCTACGTTACTTTTAAATATGTAGGTATCATATTGTTGTTCTCATTACTAACTACGACTGTTATTAATACACATAATGTCGTAGTTATTATCACGACTATGACTTATTAATACACACAGGTCGTAGTTACTATCACGACTAATTACGACTGTTATTAATACACACAAGGTCGTAGTTACTATCACGACTAACTACGACTTATTAATACACACAAGGTCGTAGTTACTATCACGACTAACTATGACTGTTATTAATACACACAGGTCGTAGCAATTATCACGACTATGACTTATTAATACACACAGGTCGTAGTTACTATCACGACTAATTACGACTGTTATTAATACACACAAGGTCGTAGTTACTATCACGACTAACTACGACTGTTATTAATACACACAAGGTCGTAGTTACTATCACGACTAACTACGACTGTTATTAATACACACAAGGTCGTAGTTACTATCACGACTAACTACGACTGTTATTTGTACACAAGGTCGTAGTTACTATCACGACTAACTACGACTTATTAATACACATAATGTCGTAGTTATTATCACGACTATGACTTATTAATACACACAGGTCGTAGTTACTATCACGACTAACTACGACTGTTATTAATACACACAAGGTCGTAGTTACTATCATTACTACCAAAAGAGAAGCTTATGAAGTGTGGCGGACAGTATGTGTGTAATAATAATAATAACGCTTTGTACTGCTGTTTGTGTTGATGTACCATTGTGTAGTGAACACTCTAGGTTGGTCGCCCACGGCAGAGAACACGTCTCAAATGTACTGGTTTAATTTTTATTTATTTTTTTTTCTGTACATTTTGTCAAGTTTTTACTAAATGTACATTGGACGATTGAAGAGTATTTAAAATGTGTATATATAATGTATATATATAAACTGACCTCACAAGGGAATAAAGCTACACATATTTTTTCAATACTTTTTTATTTATTACCTGTAAACCAATAATTGAACCTGGTCTTTAAACCTCGTATCTGAACATATTTATTACCTATTAGTTATATATGAACCTAATTACTGTTCTCAATATTTGAACCTGATAATTGAACCTTATACAGTATACGAACCTGATAATTGAACCTTATACAGTATATGAACCTGATAATTGAACCTTATACAGTATATGAACCTGATAATTGAACCTTATACAGTATATGAACCTGATAATTGAACCTTATACAGTATATGAACTGATAATTGAACCTTATACAGTATATGAACCTGATAATTGAACCTTATACAGTATATGAACCTGATAATTGAACCTTATACAGTATATGAACTGATAATTGAACCTTATACAGTATATGAACCTGATAATTGAACCTTATACAGTATATGAACTGATAATTGAACCTTATACAGTATATGAACCTGATAATTGAACCTTATACAGTATATGAGACACGATAATTGAGACCTATATAGTATATAGACACAATGGTAGACCTTATACGGTATATGAACCTGATAATTAGACCTTATACAGTATATAGACCTGATAATTGAACCTTATACAGTATATGAACCTGATAATTGAACTTTTATACGGTATATGAACCTGATAATTGAACCTTATACGGTATATAGACCTGATAATTGAACCTTATACGAGTATATATAGACCTGATAATTGAACCTTATACAGTATATGAACCTGATAATTGAACTTTATACAGTATATGAACCTGATAATTGAACCTTATACAGTATATGAACCTGATAATTGAACCTTATACAGTATATGAACCTGATAATTGATCCTTATACAGTATATGAACCAGATAATTGATCCTTATACAGTATATGAACCAGATAATTGATCCTTATACAGTATATGAACCTGATAATTGAACCTTATACAGTATATAAACCTGATAATTGATCCTTATACAGTAGATGAACCTGATAATTGAACCTTATACAGTATATGAACCTGATAATTGATCCTTATACAGTATATGAACCAGATAATTGATCCTTATACAGTATATGAACTGATAATTGATCCTTATACAGTATATGAACCTGATAATTGAACCTTATACAGTATATGAACCTGATAATTGAACCTTATACAGTATATAAACCTGATAATTGAACCTTATACAGTATATGAACTGATAATTGATCCTTATACAGTATATGAACCTGATAATTGATCCTTATACAGTATATGAACCAGATAATTGATCCTTATACAGTATATGAACCAGATAATTGATCCTTATACAGTATATGAACCTGATAATTGAACCTTATACAGTATATGAACCAGATAATTGAACCTTATACAGTATATGAACCTGATAATTGATCCTTATACAGTATATGAACCTGATAATTGAACCTTATACAGTATATGAACCTGATAATTGAACCTTATACAGTATATGAACCTGATAATTGATCCTTATACAGTATATAAACCTGATAATTGAACCTTATACAGTATATGAACCAGATAATTGAACCTTATACAGTATATGAACCTGATAATTGATCCTTATACAGTATATAAACCTGATAATTGAACCTTATACAGTATATAAACCTGATAATTGAACCTTATACAGTATATAAACCTGATAATTGAACCTTATACAGTATATGAACTGATAATTGATCCTTATACAGTATATAAACCTGATAATTGATCCTTATACAGTATATGAACCTGATAATTGAACCTTATACAGTATATGAACCTGATAATTGAACCTTATACAGTATATAAACCTGATAATTGAACCTTATACAGTATATAAACCTGATAATTGAACCTTATACAGTATATGAACCAGATAATTGAACCTTATACAGTATATAAACCTGATAATTGATCCTTATACAGTATATGAACCTGATAATTGAACCTTATACAGTATATGAACCTGATAATTGATCCTTATACAGTATATGAACCAGATAATTGAACCTTATACAGTATATGAACCTGATAATTGATCCTTATACAGTATATGAACCTGATAATTGATCCTTATACAGTATATGAACCTGATAATTGATCCTTATACAGTATATGAACTGATAATTGAACCTTATACAGTATATGAACCTGATAATTGATCCTTATACAGTATATGAACCTGATAATTGATCCTTATACAGTATATGAACCTGATAATTGATCCTTATACAGTATATGAACCTGATAATTGATCCTTATACAGTATATGAACCTGATAATTGAACCTTATACAGTATATGAACTGATAATTGAACCTTATACAGTAGATGAACCTGATAATTGATCCTTATACAGTATATGAACCTGATAATTGATCCTTATACAGTATATGAACCTGATAATTGATCCTTATACAGTATATGAACCTGATAATTGAACCTTATACAGTATATGAACCTGATAATTGAACCTTATACAGTATATGAACCTGATAATTGAACCTTATACAGTATATGAACCTGATAATTGAACCTTATACAGTATATGAACCTGATAATTGAACCTTATACAGTATATGAACCTGATAATTGATCCTTATACAGTATATGAACCAGATAATTGAACCTTATGCAGTATATGAACCTGATAATTGAACCTTATACAGTATATGAACCTGATAATTGAACCTTATACAGTATATGAACCTGATAATTGATCCTTATACAGTATATGAACCTGATAATTTTACCTTATACAGTATATGAACCTGATAATTGAACCTTATACAGTATATGAACCTGATAATTGATCCTTATACAGTATATGAACCTGATAATTGAACCTTATACAGTATATGAACCTGATAATTGAACCTTATACAGTATATAAACCTGATATTGATCCTTATACAGTATATGAACCTGATAATTGAACCTTATACAGTATATAGACCATAATTGAACCTTATAAGGAACCTTATACAGTATATGAACCTGATAATTGAACCTTATACAGTATATGAACCTGATAATTATCCTTATACAGTATATGAACTGATAATTGATCCTATACAGTATATGAACCTGATAATGAACCTTATACAGTATATGAACCTGATAATTGAACCTTATACAGTATATGAACTACCTATAATTGAACCTTATACAGTATATGAACCTGATAATTGATCCTTATACAGTATATGAACCTGATAATTGAACCTTATACAGTATATGAACCAGATAATTGAATACAGTATATGAACCTGATAATTGAACCTTATACAGTATATGAACCTGATAATTGAACCTTATACAGTATATGAACTGATAATTGAACCTTATACAGTATATGAACCTGATAATTGAACCTTATACAGTATATAAACCTGATAATTGAACCTTATACAGTATATGAACCTGATAATTGAATATACAGTATATGAACCTGATAATTGAACCTTATACAGTATATGAACCTGATAATTGAACCTTATACAGTATATGAACCTGATAATTGAACCTTATACAGTATATGAACCTGATAATTGATCCTTATACAGTATATAGAACATTAATTGAACCTTATACAGTATATGAACCTGATAATTGAACCTTATACAGATATGACACGATAGTGAACCTTATACAGTATATGAACCTGATAATTGAACCTTACAGTATATGAACCTGATATGAACTTATACAGTATATGAACCTGATAATTGATCCTTATACAGTATATGAACTGATAATTGATCCTATACAGTATATGAACCTGATAATTGAACCTTCGTATATGAACCTGATAATTGAACCTTATACAGTATATAGACAGATAATTGAACCTTATACAGTATATGAACCTGATAATTGAACCTTATACAGTATATGAACCTGATAATTGATCCTATACAGTATATGAACCGATAATTGAACCTTATAAGTATATGAACCGTAATGACTATACAGTATATGATAATGAACCTATATGAACCAGATAATTGAACCTTATACAGTATATGAACCTGATAATTGAACCTTATACAGTATATGAACCTGATAATTGAACCTTATACAGTATATGAACCTGATAATTGAACCTTATACAGTATAGAACGATTACCTTTATATGAACCTGATAATTGAACCTTATACAGTATATGAACCTGATAATTGAACCTTATACAGTATATGAACCTGATAATTGAACCTTATACAGTATATAGACACGATAATTGATCCTTATACAGTATATGAACCTGATAATTGAACCTTATACAGTATGAACCTGATAATTGAACCTTATACAGCATGAACCTGATAATTGAACCTTATACAGTATATGAACCTGATAATTGAACCTTATACAGTATATGAACCTGATAATGAACCTTATACAGTATATGAACCTTAATTGATCCTTATACATATAACTGATAATTGATCATATACAGTATATGAACCTGATAATGAACCTTATACAGTATATAGACCTGATAATTGAACCTTATACAGTATATAGACCAGATAATTGAACCTTATACAGTATATGAACCTGATAATTAGACCTTATACAGTATATGAACCTGATAATTGAGCATACAGTATATGAACCAGATAATTGAACCTTATACAGTATATGAACCAGATAATTGAACCTTATACAGTATATGAACCTGATAATTGAACCTTATACAGTATATGAACCGGATAATTGACATATACAGTATATGAACCTGATAATTGAACCTTATACAGTATATGAACCTGATAATTGAACCTTATACAGTATATAAACCTGATAATTGAACCTTATACAGTATATAGACCTGATAATTGAACCTTATACAGTATATGAACCTGATAATTGAACTTATACAGTATATGAACCTGATATTGAACCTTATACAGTATATGAACCTGATAATTGAACCTTATACAGTATATGAACCTGATAATTGAACCTTATACAGTATATGAACC